TAATCCCAGTGCTTGGGAGGCTGAAAACAGAAGAATCACTATGAGTCCAATCTATGTAGTGTGACCCTGTAGACCCTGTAAACCCTGTACCAAAACCATAAAAAAAATTTAAAAAGAAAGAAAGAAATTAAACAATATTTACAATCAAATGAAAATGAAGATACAATATACCAGAACCTGTGGGATGCAATGAAAGCAATCTTCAGAGGGAAATTTATAGTGGTGAATTCTAACATCAGGAAAATAGAATAAGCACAAATAACCTAATGCTGCACTTCAATATTCTAGAAAACGAAGAACATGTCAAGCACTAAACTCAAAGAAGGTAGGAAATCATAAAAATCAGAGCAGGAATAAATGTAATGGAGACAAAGAAAACAATACAAAGTATTAATGAATCAAAGAGTTGGTTATTTGAAAAAATAAATAAAATTGATAAGCCCCTAGGCAACCTTATCAAAAAAGCAAAGAAAAAACTCAAATTCATGCAATAACCAATAAAGGAGTGAAATCTCTATAGATCCTGTAGAAATTCAGGAGATCATCATTATCTATTTTGAAAATCTTTGCCCGCACAAGATGGAAAACAGAAGGAATGGACAGATGCCTAGGTACATATGAATTACTCACACTGAATCAAGAAGATATAAAGTCTGAATAACCCAGTGTCAGTCAATGACATTAAAAATGTAGTTCAAACCTTACCAACAAAGACAAGCATGGGTCCTAATCAACTCACAGTCGAATTCTACAAGAAATCTAGAGAAGATTTAATGCCAGTGCTCATCAAACTCTTTAATGAAATCAAAAAGGAAGCCATTCTCCCTAACTCATTCCTGGAGGTAAGTATTACTCTGATGCCAAAACCAGAGAAAACCAACCTAAAGAGAGAGCTAGAGGGAAATCTTCCTAATAAGCACAGATGCAAAAGTCCTCAAAAGATACCAGCAAAGAGAATGCAGTAAATCATCAAGAAGCTTATATGCTATGACCAAGTGAGATTCACCCCAGGAATTCAGGGATGGTTCGATACATGCAAATCTATAACATAATACACCGTATCAATAGAAACAAAGACAAAAATCACACGATCATCTCAATAGATGCAGAAAAAGCTTTTGATAAAGTCCAACACTCACTAATGATAAAAGCCTAAAGAATATTGGGATTGATAGTCTTTACCTCAATCTGATAAAAGCCATCTATGACAAACCATCATACTAAATGGACAAAAGCTGAAGGATTTCGATTTAAAATCAGGAAAAAGATAAGGATGTCTACTCTCAGCACTCCTTTTCAGTATAGTTCTGAAAGCATCCACCAGCATAGTAGAGCAACAAAGATAAGAAAAGAAGACATTATTTGCAGGTGATATGATACTCTACATAGATGACCCCAAAAACTCCACCAAGAGATTATAGATTCAAATTCAGTAGCACAGCTGGAGACAAAATCAACACTCAAAAAGTAGTAGCATTCCTGGGGCTGGGGAGATAGCTTGGTGGTCTAAGCACCTACCTGGCAAGCCCAAGGAAGCCTAAAACTAGACCCATGTCTATCACCACACACCAAACTACATTTAAAATGGACCAAAGATCAAAAATTCTAAATCTAAAAACAGAAACACTAAATCTACTGGAAAAAAAAGTAGGTAGAAATCTTGAAGGCATAGGGGTAGGTAGAGCTTTTATGAACAAACTGCACGGGAAATACTTCAAAGTATCAACAACTGGGATCTCATCTTATTGGATAGATTTTGCACATCAAAGGAAATCACCAACAGAGTAAAAAGAAAATCCATAAATTGAGAAAAAAAATTAGCTAACTGTCCCTCAAACAAAAGACTTCTGTCTAGAACGTATAAAGAATTATAAAAAATCAAGCTCCCAAAATTCAAAGACCCAATCCAAAAATGGATATCTGAGATGAGTGCAAACTTCTCAGATAAAGAAATACAAGTAGCAAATAAATATTTGAAAAAATATTCAACATCACTGGTCATTCAAGAAATGCAAACTGAAACAACACTGAGAGTCCATCTCACCCCAGAAAGAACTGGGCTGGGGATATGGTTCAGTGGCATAAGCTCCTGGCAGGCAAGTACAAGGTCCTGAATTCAATCCTTGGTGAGAGAGAGAGAGAGAGAGAGAGAG